CCCGATCGGTTCTGCCCATGTAACTGATGCCGCAGTCACATACGAATCGATAAAAACAATGTCAGTTGGTGCCGACAGGTTTATCTTCCTTTAGTGAAGGTAGCGGCAAGCGGGAGAATTGTCGGCGTGGTCGAAAGGGTGGGTGATACTCACTGGCTGCCCATTCCGAGAGAGGGATTTTGTTCGAGATGCCCTACCTCTAGCCTTCGACTCAAGTCTGACCCAAAAGGCAGTGGCGGATTTGGAGGTCCGTTTGAGGGATTCCACCGTGAGCGCTTGGCTCAATAGCCCGCCCACAAGACAGTGGGGAGCAAGTCCATCTCAGCAGTGTAAATGCAGAGACCCATTAGGATCTACTTGATGCCTGTTACACATGAGCTTTGAAAATTTGGGACAATTCACATGTTTTACGACCGTATTGCGTTACGCACCTGCGACCAGGGCCAGCCGCAGTTGGGAGTTGGCGAGTGCACCAAATTGACCAGAGGCTACCTGCCTTGAGGCGGGCCGTAGCAAAGCACTGAGCACAAGGTGCTCTCCCACCGGCAGAAACAATGCGTGGCGCTCATGCTCTACGTCAAACGAGCCATGAGTTTATAACCCGTAGAACTGTTATCTCCCATGGCTAAGATTTGAAGGGAGAGGTCCATAGACTTCTTATTTACCTCCGAAGATTGGACTGTGAGACTGAAATAGTCTGACCCCTAACCATTGACCTGTCTGGACTGGGTGGCCCTGATGGCACTTGGAAAGTGCCACCCAGCATGGCTCAATGGGTCGTGGAGATAGGCGAACCACTGCACCACGCCAACATCCAGTCTCGTTGTTCAAAGTTCGAAGGTGGTAAACTCTAATGCTAGAAAGGAGTTGTGTATAGGGATCGTCTACTCGAGCTTTAACTGCACAATGCAATGGTTAGAAATTCGCATCGTGGTGAAGTGTAGGTAACGTAGAAACGGAGTAAGGTCAGTGAATGTTGACGGCCAACGAACAACTGCGGAATAGTGCTTTGTGATGCGATAAAGCGTCGTTTAGAAATCGGCCGAGAGGACCTCGGCAAAATAAACTTATCAGATGGAACGTGAACCAATTACTTGTCAAGTCATTTGCCCGTTATCTGCATGATGTCTCATTTAAGGTTAGACATAGGCATAAGAAGTGCATGGCCTTTGAGGATGAGCGATAAAAAATTCAAGAAAGTAGCAGAAGTGGAGGCTGTGTAAATTTGGCGGGGAATATGCCATAGAACAGCGCATCCAGCTTGATTCGTTTCATTCAGCATTGAATTACACTGGTTCATCGGATAGTAGAGAAGAGGAGGGCGATCCCTTGTCAACTCCATTACTTTCTGATCATTGCAAGGATTCTCGCGTCATTGCACAAAGGAAACTCCGGAGACGGCCGTAACACTCGTAGCTGAAGCAACACGATCCCAGCATGTGCAACAGGTAAAAATCAAGTAGTTGTTTGAAACAGTCCTCCGTCTGCGCATCAACAATGCGCCCTGGTGATCGGTTCTAGTCGTTTATAACGCGGGTGAATAGAGCAAGGATGGACCGCACTCTGAGCCTCCTTGGTTTGAATAACTTTCATCGGTGTCCTCTGGTCGAACTCCCAACGTTGAGATGAAAGAAATTTCGCAACTCTCCCCAGCTCTCGAAAATACATCTGGTGAAAAGCAAATCTCCGTGGCGACCACGGTAACCCAGAATAAACAGATTCAAATGCCGAAGCGGAAAAGGATAGTGCAGGTCACGTAACTCAGAGACGGACTTCGATCCACATCGTTGGACCTTCCCAAATATGTCACGTACAAATTTGGCGACCGGGTAGATAACAGGAAGGTATTCTAGAATCGGGCGCACATGAGGTAAACAGGAGTCTAAAGAGCTCCGGCGTCAGCAGCCTCTTCGTATGACGTGAAACAGCCTGTAGGCAGCGGCAACCCTCTTCATGTGCTGACTGGATGTTAAATCTGGGATCACAGTTACGCCAAGACATCTTAGAATTGACATTTTTGAGCCAGGAACCATCTATGTAGTAAGCACCGAATGGTTCAAGAGCGCCAACGGAACGCTTATCTTGACTAATGCTTATTTCGTAGCGTAATATAATTTTACATAACAATTTTTCTTTTCGCCTAGTAGCCGGCTGGTGGCTTACCGGAACGATGCCTATCCGTTGCTGGTAGCTCAGCTGGCATGCAACCGTTGTAGTTATTTTCCTTTTCCTTTATGTATTGCGGCACAGTAGCTGAGGTGTTTCCCACCTCTAGCTAACGTGTATAATAATGATGCTGAATGGGCAAATGACACTGGATCAACCAACTGGGCAGATCGAGCGTCTCTTGTAACCGATCAGCATCCTCTAAAGATGCATCCGTCCATATCTTCAGATCATCCGCATTAATCAAGCAATCCGATGGAAGCTCAGAGGGCAGATCGTTAATGAAGATGTTGAAGAGTTCATGGCGGAGCCCTGTGGGACACCGCTGGATAGGAAAACGTTTCGTTCACTTTTACCAGCATGGAGCGACCGTTCATGAAATTGGAAATCCAGAAATGAAAGTTACCAGCAACGCCGACTCTACGTAGCTTGATAACAAAAGGTCCATGCGGGACCTCATCAAAAGAATTACTGAAGTAAATAAACACGACATCCATGCGCTTGCCAACATCCAATGAATTTGACCATTTTTCCTTAGCCACAAACAAGTTGGTAGTGCAGGAGTGAACTTTGCGAAAACCGTGCATGGCAAAGATCAGATCCGACCTTTCGAGATGAAGGCGAAGTGCCCATTTCAGGACCCATTCCATGGATTTGCACACTAGCGATATTTGGCAAATGGGACGATAGCTAGCTGGATCTTGCCGGTTCCCTCCACTGTATTCGGGCTTAATGATGCCTATCTTCCAAGCGACCGGGAGAAGTGCGGACTCGAACGATCGACGGAAAAACCGCGAGTAGGTACGGCAATGTGCTCAACCAAAGTCTTGAAGAACTAGGTGTGTAAGCCGTCAGGACCAGGTGATGAGTAAGGATCCAATCACAGAGGTTTCAACACGACGTCAGTGTTACTATCGACGCGCTCTAACAGGAAAAGGAGTGTAAACAAAACTGTCAGAAAACGAAGCTTCTGTCGAGTGCACGGATGTATGTATTGGCAACATTCTAACGAAAAGGCATAGAACCAAACAGATCCATGAAAAGCACAAGAGAAGAGAGGTTTAATCACCATACCATCATCATGGCGCATTAGCTGAAGGTGAGCAACACACTTCAACTATTGTGCCGTAAGAAGAACGGAACTGCTTTTGTTATTTTTGAAACGCAACATTGCTTTTTTGTCGTTTTTAAACTTTAAGCATTGGACAGCTGAATCTAAACAAGTATTTACACAAAGCCCACTGGTTTCGACTACGCGCCTAATCTTAAAATCTTTCTACGCATCAACACTACTGCTTGCTCCCCAACCAGGCAGGCATGTGGGTCCAACGGCAGCAAGAAGTGAAGTCAACGATTTCATATGCTGACGCGAAGTGGACGGCTGACCACCACGCGGTCTTTTCCAAACAAGCCCTGCACGAGCAAAAAGGGGGAAGTAAGGCAAGCGCTTAGCTGGCATACGCAAAACATGGCCGAGCCATTTTAGCTGACGCAGAAAAACTAGTTTGTTGAGGCATACTCGCATCTCCCCTAAGACACGACGTCGGACTTCACCATTGGAAATACGTTGCTGCCACCACACACGAGCAATCCTCCTCAAGCACCCGTTGTCAAAAGCCGAGAGTCGGCGCATGTCATCCACGCGAAATGGCTACGACACCTCCACATAGCAACACCGCCGGAGTACGCGGAAGAGTAGTGCCGCGCCAGGGTACTGGCTTTGTCGGTGTCGTCCTGAACTGGAGCCCCATGCTCAAAGGTACACAAGGCAGGGATGCCACTAGCAGCTCTGCTGTTTGGTTTGTAGAAGAGCATCTTGGAAGTCGTTCCAGAGATTGGCTAAAGATAGTTCGTATCATTGACGTTTCTCACGTTTTTTCATGGTATAGACATACCTAACAGATTTAAAGCCAAGAAAGTCGTTCTGATCTTGTGAGCCTGAAGCGGTACAACAATTTCCATCTTATGTTCACCATAAATCTCAATTCACGATCAGTCCACGGATGGCCTCTAGAGTGGTCGATTTTTTGAGCTGGGAACAACTTTTCGGTGAATAATATCAGCTTGGCGTACAGAAGATTCCAGGCACCGTCAGCATTCAGGTGTTCGGGAACACCCCAATCCGTAATACTTGCAGTCACTTTAAGACGAAGGGCATCGGTACGCCTGAAATTCCGATGGAGGGCACATAGGTTGTGGATAGCGAAGCAACGTATCTATTGGAATAAGACAGCACAATGATCGCTTCTATGAAGGGCTGAAAAACTGTCAGGTTCATGACGTCTGATTGTGCTGGGGAGAGAACAAGATCCAGGATGTGAAGTTGCTGGTCGGCGAGAATACGGGTCGGCATGGAGACATGCTGAAACAGACTGCAAACAAGGACGGTACTGGGTAACGCGGAACCAAATAAATTCGGGAGAGGATTGCAAAGAGAGTCCCAAACGATATTAGGAACATTGAAATCTCCCACGATAAGACAGTCCTTTCCTGCCTATGTTTACTGTTCAATTCCAACAGACCAGCCCCAGCACTCAGTTGCAATCTGTAGATGACACCAATCAAGGAAAATCTACATCGTCATGAACACAGTACCAGAAAGAATCAGGATCACCGACAGTGTCACAGGAGACCTCAACTAAATGGGTCCTTAATTCTGCTCCCCAGTATGGGACGCCGCCTCCTGACTTTCCCCATGATGATCGGCGCGAGAAAAGTGGTATCCAGGGATGGACACTTTATAGTCTGTGATGTCTGGGAATAATCGTTTCGATGAAGGAATGTTTTGACAAAAACGAAAGAAAAGTTAGAAATTAAAAAGATTACATACTTACGTGTAGAGCAAGTGCCCACCTGACTGAGTATCGGAGACCCAAATGTCTCCATAGGGTACTGTAAGTTTGCAATATCCTCAAGCGCTGTATGAGCTAGGTTTATCGAGCCCTTAAGATCGTTCCGAAGATTTCCGGTATGAAGCAATGACTCGGAGTTAAAGCGGCTATCGAGTTCTCTCTTAAGGTTGTGTCGCTGATCTCGTTCGATCTGGAGAGACTCTAAAGCCTCTTCAAGTGATCTTTCCGTCATGCGTTTCAATCGTGTTATTTCTTCCAACTGATTGTGTATTATATCGTTTTCCTCCTGCATACGTTTGTATTCATGTCGCAAACTCTCGAATTCGACCTAAATTTGGTCCCGAAACACAAATAGAACTGCATACCTGGCTGGTTTTTAAGGACAGAATAGTCTTTTGTAGGTCCAGATTTTCGGCCTCTAAATCCTCTAAATCACTGGTAAGCTGGACTTCCTTTCGCTTCGCCTCTTTCAGCTCAGCCTTCAGCTGAGAGTAGGAGTGGTTCAAATCTTCAAATCTGCCCTGCTGCTCGGACATTCTTTGATGCAAACCATCATTATCAGCCATTTGCCTATCAAACTTCGCTCTGACCTCCTTTAATTCGACTTCGAGGTCCATGACCTGATTGATAAGGCGCTGTTCACGGTCCGTATATTCAGACAAAAAATCCTGCTCTTCCTCAAGGCCGGCTTTGCTAAGTCGCCTGTGCAACAAGCTTTGCTCTTCCAATTTCTAATACGTAGGTGAAAATGAAAGTATATACCTGCTTTGATAGGATCAATTCCTGACCAGCATCATCGAACTTCCTTAACAGCTCATCGTACTGAGCTTGAAGTTGCTGCTTTTCTTCGAGGATTCTTAGTCCATACTGTGCAGCTTCAAGTTTAAGCTGCAGGGCATCCTGTAATGCATTCTGAAGCTTCTTGTTCTCCTCCTTAAGCAGCTGATCAGTCATCATAGAAGGGCGCAGCTGCCTATCGGCAGAGAGGCTGGTGTCTACGGATCAGCTGCACGATGGTGTTCCACCAGTATGCAAATAATAGATCCATCCATTGGGTTCTAGGTGATAAAATAAATTCTTTATTAGCTCTTTCAACAAACTGACTTCAGTGGTTACGTGGTGTTGTGGAATAAAAAGCGAAAAAAGGTGAAACCGTTGCACTCTACTCATTTAGGCCTATTATTCGCAGCCAGATTAACTTACAAGTTGGACAGGAACATAAGACCTTTCCATGAGTGCAGTTTATTTAAGGCGTAGGTAAACTAAAAAAATAAGCGCAATGGATTTGGAACCGAGGCGTGCCTCATTAATAAGCCTGAATCACGTCACGGTCAACCAATCAAATACTACGCCTCCTGCACTAGCAGTCTTCTCTGTACCGGCGTCGTGAATGAAAAAGAAAGCTAAGAGAAGGGAACCAGCAGAAACGGAATAATTATAAGTGTAGTACACGTGAATATGCATACAATACTGGTACTATGTGATGAGAAGTAAAGGAAATGGACGTGGAATTTAAGAACCAAGCGAAAAGGTTTGAAACTGCAATCCAAGGGCGTCGAATCGATGTTCCAACTACTTCACCGTTAGTGTTGATCCGACTTTTCGGGTAGTGCGCTCCATAGGTCGACGACCATGCGGGATAAACGAAAATCAGCTTTAATGCGATCGGATCTGGGCTCATGCAGCAACGTTGGGAACCACGTAAAGATGGCATCTGAGGCGGAAGGAACAGTTTTGTTAGACCAGGCGCAATCTTGCCGGTCAATATGCGCTACATAAAATGCAGGTCTCTCCGAAGTCGCCAAGAGTGCAGAAGAAAATTCTGCAACCTGAGCAGCCCATCAGTGTACTAGGTTTGCCTCAAATTTTGCACCACGCGTACCGATTCTCAGAACCCGTTCAACTACCAACATGTCGCGGACCAAGCATGGAGGACAGACCTACACGCAGTATTCGAAATATGGCTTGTCAACAGCTGTGATCAATGTAACAAACATGACATTTATCATGATGACCGAAGACGTGCGCCTCATCCACAGCATTCGGAAAACCTTGGGGATAGCAGTCGGCCAGTTCTTGCTGGATTTAAGTCAGAGGACAGCGAGGTACCTTAGTACCTTGTGGCACTACGTTGCCGCCAAATACGTAATGAGTTGTCGGAGCGCTTGATCCTCTGCGCAGGACCAAACACTTGGCAAAGTTTGTTGGCAGTTACCACAAATCTGCCAACTCCAAAAGCTTGTCAAGTGCTGTTTGCAAAGCCACGGACCAATAGAATCACTCAATGGATTTCAACCTTTCAAGGCATCCACATCCATAAGGGATGGTAGTTAAGCTTCTCATGGAGGTCGTTCACATACAATGTAAATAGTAGAGGTCCGAGAATCGACCGCTGAGGAACGACACTCAAAACTGTTTGTCCGAAAGAAAACCAGGAACTCATAAAAAAGCTCATCAGCGTGCCTTTCAAGAAAGCCAAATCCAAGGCAATTCAGTGTAATAAAGGTCATAGGACTCGGGTGTTATCAAAAGACGACAATGCGGTACGGTGTCATAGACTTTTAAAATTCAATGGACGTAACATCCCTTGCCTTTACAAGCGCACGAGCCTCGGCCAAGCACCCTCGAACTACTAACGTGTAAGTCAAACAAGTGCAAGCCGGGTTTCGTCGTGGTCGTGGCTGCATCGACCACATCTTCACCTTGCGTCAGTTGTTGGAGCACCGTCACATATCTTGGCGGCCCACCGTTGTCGTGTTCCTCGACATCACAGGTGCATTCGATTTGGTTGATCGATGTGCACTTTGAAATTGTCTAGTAAGGAAATGTGTGCCCGAGAAATATGTAAATATTATCTAAGCATTATACGCGCGTAGCTCGGGCAGAGTGAGGGCTTACGGCAACCTGTCGCCACCCTTCAATATCTCCAGCGGTGTGAGACAAGGATGCCCGCTGTCACTATTCCTCTTCAACTTCGCTATTGACGAAGTCATGGAGATTGCATTTGCAGGACATGACTTGGAAAGTGTGGAGCTACTCCCAGGAGAACAACTTCTTGGCTTGGAGTAGGCAGACGACATTGCCCTCATTTGTGACAGCTCCCAGAGGTGCCAAGCCGCGCTGGACTGATTGGCACTGGCTTTCAGCCGCTTCGGGCTTTGTTTTGCACCAGCGAAGTGCAAAGCGTTCCTCCAAGATTGGCAGGGAGCGCCTCATGCGCTGACCCTAGTTGGGAATCAGCTAGAAGTCGTTCAGAAATTCTACTACCTAGGAAGTTGTATCAACGCCCGTGGGATCGAAGACGAGGTCACGCACCGTATAGCGAAAGCTCGAAATGCTTTTGCTAACCTTCGCCACCTACGGCGGCGACGCGACATCACTCTCGCCCTGAAGGGTAGAGTGTACAATGCAGCGGTACGTTCAACCTTACTGTGCGGTTGCAAAACCTGGCCCCTAAGGTCGGCGGACATGAAGAGGCTAGTAACTTTCGACCATCGGTGCCTTCGCAGTTTGGCTCACATCTGGTGCAAATACCGCGTGAGTAACGAGCGTGTTCGACGCCTTGTTTCCGGCCCAGGGAAAGGATCTGAACCGCTCAGCACTGTTATTTCCCGCACCAGGCTCTGATGGCTGGTGCTGCGCATGCTAACCCACCGACTCGCTCGACGTGCGTGGTTTGCTCACCGGGGATGTGGGTGAAAGAAGAGGAGAGGTGGCCAAGCGATGACTTGGTCTAGAGGAATGAAGTCCATCACTTCGGAGCTAGCCTCGGTTGGAGCTTCAGGGCTCCCTGGTTGGGGTCCAAATGACAGTGAACACGTTTGCCTAGATACACTTGCTGACATGGCAAGGAGCCGACCTCAGTGGCGTTTGTGCTGTGAGTTTCTTTGTCCCTCCCCATCTCTTTTAGCTTCCCCTCCATCTACGATCTCATTTCGTAGGGTAAAACATAATACTTTTTTATATATTTGCCTAGTAGCTGGCTAGTAACTTACGGGAACGATGCCTATCCGTTGCTGGTAGCTCAGCTGGCATGCAACTGTCGTATTTATTTTTCCATTATGTATTTTATTTATGTTTGTATTTACTTTATGTATTGCGGAACAATAGCGGAGGTGTTTCCCTACCTCTAGCTGACATGTATAATGATGATGATGACGATGAAGTCAAACAAGTGTGACCACTACTAAATCTAAGCCGAGACGGGCTAAGCTATGTGAACTAAAACGGGTGTTTCTCAACAGCATCTCTTACCAGCTGCTTTACTACTATAACGTATACTTTTTATGCCTACCGGCCTGTAATTTTCAGGTAGGTCTTATCACCCTTTTGGAAAACGGGCACAAACTAACACCTATCCGACCGGCAGCTAGAGAGCAGCTGCGAAGCGACTTTTCAACGAGACATGTAATCATTTTACACAGCAACTCAACCAGGTAGTACACAGGTTTGGGGTGATGGACCTCTCTTTCAAACTCTTTAGTAAGATTCAAGTTACGAGTGGCTTGGGTACTTGAACTTCTGGGAAGAAGAGGTGCATCAGGAAGGAATTCGCTAGGATGTTGCCTATAAGTCTCTATTCAGTAACGCAGCTTCTTGAACAAACGACCTTGTATACAGTTCCGCAAGTAAGCTGGTCTTGGCCTTGCCTCGGAGCAAGGAGAAGGATGGAGCTGCGTTGGTTATGTGGACCTCAGGGTTTGCAGCAGTGCAAGGCAGAGTGCGTTATAGTGGACCCTCCGCTAGGCCATTATCCATCAATACGGCTATATAGTAGGTACAAATGCAGCTGCTAACCGGGAAGATGGACCGCTGGAAATTTTATACATAGCTACCTCAATATAACAATAGACAGTGTGCAACCATCCAACTCACAAACGCCTTGAACTGTTTCCAAGCGCGAGGCGACCGTCTCATTGCAATCCAGGCAACCGCAGGCCATTGTGCTGCATATCTGGTTAGCCAAATAACCTCTTCGTGGTGTCAGTTGGATGTATTGGGGTTCGCCATTTCCAGCAAGTTTCGGCGTCAGTGTTCCAGGACGTGGTGAGTTTTCGTCTGGAAATTGTTTCCTTTATAAAAAGCCACCAGTGACTGTTTATAAATGTTGGACGGGGCGGTGGTTGCTCGCCGCAGGTTCGTCACTGCTTCATGCATATCCGGATAACACTAATCAATTCACGCAAGCCGATAAATCATTCTCACAGTACTGACGCTGGCAAACAGTCAAGGATACTGCGGCAAACCTACAAGCACAAACTACACAGCTACACACATAAGCAAGCACAAATCTGGACACAAATACACAAACTTTCACTGTTTCGGCAAATATGTTAAATTTTTGACGTGGTCGCTCACGCTTTGTTATCGTAGTTTGGTCATGCTTGTAAAGACATGCCTAGAGTAGTCGAGAAAATGTTTTGTTGCTTATTTCGAATGAACTAATGACTAAACAGGTTGTTATCCGCAGTAGAGTAGGTTATGCGTAAAAATAAATATATATAGGAATAAACAAAACCATTTATTCTCGACAATGGGTGGCGCGCCTTCGCAGTCATGATCATTTCGACATAAAAATGCGTGACCAAGAACGTGTAGAAATTCGATATGCTTGCCATAACAGTGTATGTTTGCCTAGGGAGGTATGTAGGTATGTAATTGTGCGTGTGTATGTAGCTGTGTAGTTTGTGCTTGTAACTGTGCTGCTCTATTCTTGAATGTTTGAGCTCGTCAGCAATGTGCGAGTGGAAGGTTGGTGTCCGTGGGCTGAAAAAATTATCCGGATATCCAACGGGGCGGTGACTTTAAGTTGTGGCTTGTCATGAAAGCCACTTGACAGTTTTAGTAGGCAGACATTTGGGGTTTTTTACAGGGAGAACGCTTGCAAGAGGAAAACCATTTCGTGTTAAAACTTCGATCACTTACCTAATATACGCTGATTGAATAATGAAACGATGACATATTACGGGTAAAAGAGCAGATGCTTATGCAGTTCCGTATGATGGCCAGAACCCAACCATGAGACGGGGTAAGGAAACCATGGTGAAAAGATAAGCCTCGTTTTGGTGGATCCCCCAGTGTTCACACACAGGTATGCAGAATAGAACCAACCTCGTCTGTGTGGGTTTGGGCTGGTTATGCAACCTTTGGTACAGGATACAGTGTCGATGTACAGTGGCTAAATCTTATAATGGAG